TCACTCTGTCACCCAGGCTGGAGTGCAGTGGTGCTATCTTGACTCACTGCAACCCCCACCTCCCAGGTTCAAGGAATTCTCGTGCCTCAGCCTCCTGAGTAGCTGGGATTACAGGCACCTGCCACCATGCCCAGCTAATTTTTGTATTTTTAGTAGAGACGGGGTTTCACCATGTTGGTCAGGCTGTTCTCAAACTCCTGACCTCAGGTGATCCACCCACCTCAGCCTCCCAAAGTGCTAGGATTACAGGTGTGAGCCTCTGCACCTGGCCTCTTTCCTCTGTTTTAAAAATTATTTTTCTTTTTTCTTGATCAGTTGCTTATTTTATAGTATCTTATTTTTTTTCCTCAAAAGCACCAGATTTTAAATTTTATTTCATGTTTAATTCTACAGGTTTTCTCTTTTCTGATTCATTATCCTTTTAAAAACAACTTGAGATATAACTTACATACACCAAAAAATTCACCATTTTAGGCCGGGCACGGTGGCTCATGCCTGTATCCTAGCACTTTGGGAGGCTGAGGCAGGCGGATTGTCTGAGCTCAGGAGTTCAGCCTGGGCAACAGGCGAAATCCTGTCTCTACTAAAAATACAAAAAATTAGCTGGGTGTGGTGGTGCACGTCTGTAATTCCAGTTACTCGGGAGGCTGAGGCAGGAGAATCACTTGAGCCTGGGAGGTGGAGGTTGCAGTGAGCCAAAATCATGTCACTGCACTCCAGATGGGGCGACAAAGTGAAGCTCTGTTTAAAAAAAAAAAAAAAAAAAATTCACCATTTGAAAGTGTCTAATGATTTTTAGCATCTTCCCAGAATTGTGCAACCATCTGATACCTCACTTTTTTTACTTTTGCTTTATTGTTTTCTCCTTTCTTTGAGGTCGGTTTTGTTCCTGTTCTTACTTGTTGGGCTAATACTTTATTGTTATTTCTTTTAAAATAATGAAATAAAGTTTGTGCATTTATCCCCTTAACATAGTTTTGGCTACAGCCAATCAATTTTGTTATATACTTTACTCAATTTTGATAGCATTTTAAATTAGTCTGTATAGAAAAACTTAGTATGGGCAGGATGTAGGGGCTCACACCTGTAATCCTAACACTGTGGGAGACAGAGGCGGGATGATCACTTGAGGACAGGAGTTCAAGACCAGCCTGGGCAACATAGCGAGACCCTATCGCTACAAATAGAAAAAATTTAAAACATTAAAAATTAAAAACATTTTTGAAAAGAAAAGCTTAATACAGAAGCATAAAAAAGTATAGAACAGGCCAGGTGCAGTGGCTCACACCTGTAATCCCAGCACTTTGGGAGGCTGAGGTGAGCGAATCGCCTGAGGTCGGGAGTTTGAGACCAGCCTGGTCAACACGGTGAAACCCTGTCTCAAATAAAAATACAAAATTAGTTGGGCACAGTGGTATGTGCCTGTAATCCCAGCTACTTGGGAGGCTGAGGCACCAGAATCGCTTGACCCTGGGAGGTGGAGATTGCAGTGGGCTGAGATCATGCCACTGCACTCCAGCCTGGGTGACACAGCAAGACTCTGTCTCAAAAAAAAAAAAAAAAAAAAGTATAGAACAGCTCAAAGAAAAAAATTTAAAGTACCTGTAATCCAATTATAAGTACATTTATATTTTGGCTTATTTCCTTTCAACCACTGTTTTTTTTTTTTTTTTTTTTTTTTTTTGCACCTATAACTTAAAATGTATACCCAGAAATAAATATTTTACCAGTAGGTTCATAGTGTGTTTTTTTTTTTTGAAAGAAGCTTTATTTATATTATGTTTAATTGCATAGATTTTCATTTAATTTAACATTACTTAATTATTGTGAATGTTCTCCATGTCTTCAAAAACAACTTTTTGAGGCTGGGTGCAGTAGCTCATGTCTGTAATCCCAGTCATGGGTGGCTGAAGCGGGTGGATCACTTGAGTCTAGGAGTTCGAGACCAGCCTGGCCAACATGGTGAAACCCTATCTCTATAAAAGATACAAAAAATTAGCTGGGCATAGTGGCACATTCCTGTGGTCCCAGCTACTCAGGAAGCTTGAACTCAGGAAGTTGAGGCTGTAGTGAACCTTGATTGTACCACTGCACTTCAGCCTGGGTGACAGAGTAAGCCCCTGTCTCAAAAAACAATAAATAAATAAATAGATAAATATTGGAGTTCATAGCTCAATTTTAAAATTGGCTTCTAAATAATAATACCTTATATGAATAGTAATGTGTCCCATTCACTTACACTGGTGTACACTTGGAAAATAACTGGGAAGTGGCCTTGCTCAAATAAGCACTGCAAAGGTTAGAAAGTATTAGGTGTTATTGTTGAAGCATGGGGAATACCTTTTTCAAATTTAACTGGTGAAGATGAACTACTGGCCAATTTTATGTTTTCAAATTGTAGAATAAATATGTACGTGTGTATGTATTTACATATTCAGCCTTATATTGTTTAGTTCAGTATCTATTCAAAAACTATCTTAACTATTCTTACATTCTATCCCAGTTCTTAAGTAGAACCCATCACTTCTCGACTTAATTTTATGTATGTATGCATGTATATGCATTTGCATATTGTCTGTCTACCCTAGTCAGTTTTCTTGTATGTCTGTGTCTGGCTTGGTGTCATGGTAAACTGGCCTCACGTAATTAATTAGAAAGTGTTCCCTCCTCTTGCATTTTTTTTTGGAAGAGTTTTGAAGGTTCGGCAGGCATATAAAAATAGATACTGTATGATTGATTCCATTTATTTGACGATAAACATGAGACAAAACTAATATATGGTGTTAGCAATTAGGAGGGGTTGTGGAGTGGGCTTCTGGGATACCTGTAATGTCCTCTTTCTTGACCTAGGTGGTGATGACACGATGTTTTCACTTTCTTACATAAATTTTGGTCTGGATACACCTGATCACTGTTTCTGAATGTATGTTACACATTAATAAAAAGCAGCGCCATGCTAAGGGCAAGGCAGGAGAAGTGGATAGCCGCCAGTGCAGGCAATAAAGGGGTACACTGTAGTAAATTTTAAAACAATAATAAAACAGGCTAAAGAAATTCTTTAAGGCTTTCATCTCTAATATATGTTTGTACTTTAACTTATAAAAGGAGAAGGGTTTTTTTTTTAAATTTGTGGAAACATCATAATGAAAGGCAATTTATATTCAGTATACTTTATGAATTAATAGCTTACTTTGTACTATGGAGTATCTTTATGCTGTCAATTAGATTTCATTTAATAACCTTTGGGGAATTGTATTAGACAAGATGGCTGTGTATAATTTGAGTTGAGAAACAGATTCACCTTCAGCCTAGAGCACAGATTGGCCTTGGAGTTAATTTAATTAATGAATTGTTCTTACCTGTTTCTGGGGGCAACTACTTAGCTGCCCCTGTGTGATTCTAGGATGATAAATAAAGGAATAGAGAGGCTGGGCATGGTGGCTCACGTCTGCAATCCCAGCACTTTGTGAGGCCAAGGTGGGCAGATCACCTGAGATCAGGAGTTTGAGACCAACCTGGCCAACATGGTGAAATCCTGTCTCTACTAAAAATTCAAAAGTTAGCCGGGCATGGTGGTGGGCACCTGTAGTCTCAGCTACTTGGGAGGCTGAAGCAGGAGAATCGCTTGAACGGGGAGACGGAGGTTGCAGTGAGCCGAGATCAAGTCACTGCACTCCAGCCTGGGTGACAAAGCGAGATTTTGAGACAAATCTCAAAAATAAATAAATAAATAAATAAATAAATACACAAACCGTGACAGTATTGGGGGGCAGCATCATGATACAGGAGCAAAGCAGTCCTATGAACTGCTGTCTTCTCCCCTGGCTTAACATCATATGTTAAGTTGTTATAGCCAGTGGGTTAAGTGAATGCAAGTTTTAAAATGTTGCAGGCAACCTTCATTCCCGTGACCTAGTGTTTCCAGAGAAGGCAGCCTGTTAGTCAGGGGGCTAATAGTTTAACCTCCCTTTTCATCTATTGGGAGGATCAATCTGAATAAGGGAGATGGGGAGAACTTGAGGTTGTATGTCAGACCCTTCTGAGCATTCTCTTTTTGAGCAGGCTGTCCTCAGTTTTCTACATGATCTGTACTTAACAGAGCATTTCTAACCTGTGATGGGAGGATGCAGGATCAATCCATGGGTGAAAGGACTATGTGAATAGATTGAATATAGAGGTAGAGTGATTAGAAAGCACACTTGGGTGTTGATTCAAGCTACAGTCTCCAGTATAGCTCCACTAATTCCACAGCTGATATTTTGATTTCCATCTTTGATTCCAGTGTCATTTTGTTCTCATTTGGTTTTAGAACTCAGAGAAATTGACAAAGGAGTGATTGATTATCATCCCTAATACTCCAGTAGTTGTGTTTAGGTCTGTTTATTTTATTTATATTTTTGAGACAGGGTCTCCCTCTGTCACCCAGGCTGGAGTGCAGTGGCGTGATCTCGGCTCACTGCAGCCTCCACCTCCCAGGCTCAAGTGATCCTCTCACCTCAGCCTCCCAAGTAGCTGGGACTACAGACACCAACCACCACGCCCAGCTAATTTTTGTATTGTTTGTAGAGACAGGGTTTCTCCATGTTGCCCAGGCTGGTCTTGAACTCCTGGGCTCAAGTGATCCGCTCGCCTTCGCCTCCCAAAGTGCTGGAATTACACGCATGAGCCACCACGCCCAGCCTTGGCCTCACAAAGTGCTCAGATATAGAAGGTCTGTTTATAATGAATATTTATAGTTTAGTAGTATTTTTAACCTAATCTGAAAGTTAGCCTTTTATTTGGAGAGTACAAACTATTTACATTTATAGTCACAATTGATGTGTGTTTGACTGTTATTCTGTCAGTATGATTTATGCTTTTACATGCCACTTAATGCATTTAAAGTCATTTTGGTCAAATAGGTCTAATTGGTGGCAAGTCTGTCCTGCTGATTAATTAATTCTGTGTGTGGTCCTTCACTGCCAAGCATTAAGGTCATTTGCTTGAATAACATCTTATAGGTGCTGTTCCAGAATTCAAAGAAGAGAAACCGCAGCCGCAACCAAAACCACGTTCTGGAGCTGTGGAAAAAACATTTAGAATTGTTAAGGATTCTCTCAGTGATGATATTGTTAAAGCCACTCAAGCAATCTATCTGTTTGAACTCTCCGGTAAGGACTGCATCTGGTAATCTGAAGTTTTTATGAAACAAAACGGGGTGTTTCCTTTGGAAGAAAATCAGCCTCCAACAGTGATGCCCTGGATAGTTGGCTGCATTCAAGACCCTTACTCTTGAATATAGACATTCAAGAACAGCACCTATAACTATTAATTTGTTTTTGTTGTTGTCTCTTTGAGATGGAGTCTTTGTCACCCAGGTTGGAGAGCAATGGCGTGATCATGGCTCACTTCAGCCTCGACCTACTGGGCTCAAGTGATCCTCCGACTTCAGCCTCCCAATGATTTTTATTTCTAGATTAAGATCAATGCGTACGGACACATGTAAAGTAAATTTTATTACAAATATTCCCAGTGTTATATAACTCTGGCATATTTGAGAGAAAATCCTGCTTAGAAGGGCATATGGATCATGACAGGTAATATGATACAGTAATTTATCAACTATAGGCACCTTGCCACTTTTATCTTTGACATTAACAGGTCAGTCTGAAAGCAGTCAGCTTTTTTTACATTTCTGTTTTTAAAAAAATTTTTTTTTTTTTGAGACGGAGTCTCGCTTTGTTGCCCAGGCTGGAGTGCAGTGGTGTGATCTGGGCTCACTGCAACCTCTGCCTCCTGGGTTCAAGCGATTCTCCTGCTTCTCAGCCTTCCAAGTAGCTGGGATTAAAGGCACCCACCATCACACATGGCTATTTTTTGTATTTTTAGTAGAGGTGGGGTTTTGCCATGTTGCCCAGGCTGGTCTCAAACTCCTAGCCTCAAGCGATCCTCCTGCCTCAGCCTCCTCCCAAAGTGCTGAGATTGCACGTGTGAGCCATTGTGCCTGGATGATAGTTAGCTTTTAAAAACCAATTAATATTGTTCTTCTCCATATAAAATTTACTCATGTTAATAATAGTTTAAGAACTAGCTGCCAGGGATGGTGGCATGCAGCTGTAATTGCAGCTACTCAGGAGGCTGAGGCTGGAGGATCACTTGAGCCCAAGAGTTCAAGACTGTAGTACACTGTGATCGCATCTGTGAATAACCACTGCACTCCAGCCTGGACCACACAGTGAGATGCATCTCAAACAAATAAAAGTAAGAAACAGATAAAATTTATGTTACAAAAAAGCTACCTCAGCCCCATTATACACAAACGTTTTTATTCTTCGTCCTCTCTGCTTTATCTTAATCCATCCTGCCTTCCTGTTCTTACTTCCTTGCCATCCTTGGGATCCATCATCCATGGCTTTAGTCACTCTCTTGCTTGTGTCCTAAACTTGCTGGACCCTTTGTGCTTGTGCCATCACCTGACAAAGGACTAGTCCTGGCTGAATCAAACTCTCTGGCTGCTCCACAGTTGCATCCAGGCTGCTAAGTTTTGAGGGAGGAAAGGAAAAAAAAATCACACCGCCTGGGTGGATCTGTACCAGCAGAAATTGACTATTGCCCCACTTCAGCTGAGGTTTAAGCAACACTTCAGAATTCCGTATTTTCATGGTCAGCTTACTGCTGCATTTTCCACAGTGACTATTTTAAACTTTCTCAGTGTTCCTGAAATCTCCCATATTTCCCCTCACCTCTTCCCTGCCAGTGTCAGCAGATCCACTTGCTCTTTGACAGAGGTAGTAGAAGACTGCAGACATAAATTCCTTCAGCTTCCTGCCATCAGATATCAAATCAACCATGATAGGCATCATCCTCGCCTCCTTCCCTCTTAGTAGAATGGAGCTCAGCTCTCCATCAGTGCATCTCAAGCTCTAATGTCTATATCAAGTACCTGGGATCTTCCTAAAATGCAAAATAATGATTCAGTAGGTCTGGAGTGGAGTCTGAGATTCTGCATTTCTGACAGGTAATGACAGTATTGCAGTCCATGGATCATACTTGGAAGCAAAGTTCTAGATCCCATTTTCCCTGGCCTTCTCAAGAATTTTGTGCTGTTAATTGTACCTTGTCCTCAATCTGTTCATCTTGCAGCCTCCTTCCCAGTGGTATTTTAATGTTCTCAATTCTTTTCTAACTTTAAAACGGAACCCAATGACAATAACAAACCACGCACCCCATCTTTTTTCTCCTTTTCAGAGCCAGACTGATGTTCATCTACAACTTACTCCCCTGAACACACCCTGCTGATACCATTTGTTTCCATTTCACAGAATTGGTTTTCACCAAGGTCCTTGATGACTTCCATGTCACCAGTGGGCATGTGTCATTCCTCCCTTGTGACCACACTGCAGCATTTGATATTGCTGACCACACTTTCCTTGTGGAAATGCTCCTTCCCCGGTCCTTCATTGTAACCTCCTTGCTTTCCTTCCCTGCCTGTGATCATAGCTTGTCAGTCTCCCTTGCTGGCTGCTTCTCCTCTGTCCTTCCCTTAAGCAGTGTTCTCCACGTCACTGTCTCAGCACTCTTGACACTCTACTTCTGACACTTTCTCTAGGAAACTTCAACCATTCACGTGGCTTCAGTGACCATATGAACCGATTGATTATGTGTCCCTGTTTCTAGCTTAGCCAGACTTCATCTGACATTTTTAGTTAACTATCACAAAGATGTCTCAGCCTGAAAATGTCCAAAACAACCATTCCCAGGACCTGCCTTTGCAACCACCCATTAAATCTGCTGAGTGTCTGGCTTACTGTGTCTCTTGGGCACTGTCAATCCACACCCTCTCTCTGCATGCTTCCTTGCCATGCCTCGAAAAATTAAGGAAATTCCTGGGTGGCTCATGCCTATTATCCCAGCACTTCGGGAGGCTGAGGTGGGCAGATCACCAGAGGTCAAGACCAGCTTGGCCGGCATGGCAAAACCTCATCTCTACTAAAAAATATAAAAATTAGCCGGGCTTGGTGGTGTGCGCCTGTAGTCCCAGCTACTTGGGAGGAGGCTGAGGCAGGAGAATTGCTTGAACCCTGGAGACGGAGGTTGCAGTGAGCCCAGATTGCATCACTGCACTCCAGCCTGGGCAACAGAGCGAGACTCTGACTCAAAGAACGAAAGAAAGGAAAAAGAAAAATGGAGGAAATCAAGCACTTTCTGCTCAGATCCAGGCAAGTGGATGCCATATCTGTCAAGATCAAGAAAAATAAAGTTCACAGCAGCAGGATTATACTTTGGTTGTCACAGACAAAGAGAAGGCAGAGAAACTGAAGCAGTCCCTGCCCCCTGGTTTGACAGTGAAGGAGCTGAGATGAACCAGACACACTGGTTTGAGCTGTATTACAATTTTAAACGATGCCTGTAATCCCAGCACTCTGGGAGGCCGATCACTTGAGCTCAGGAGTTTGAGACCAGGCTGGGTAACATAGTGAGACCCTGTCTCTACAAAAATAAAAATAAAAAATTAGCTGGACATGGTGATGTATGCCTGTAGTCCCAGATACTTGGGAGACTGAGACAGAAAGGCTGCTTAAGCCCAGAAGGTCGAGGCTGCAGTGAGCGGTGATCATGCCACTTCCCTCTAGCCTGGGCAACACAGCAAGACCTGTCTTAAAAAATTAAAAATAAAGCAATCTGTTGTTCTTCAGTAGTCTTCTCCCACTTAAAAAACAAATCCACCCAAGCCAAGAACTAGCAGATCATTCCTATGTACCCTCCCCACCTTTTCCTCTTCATATGCAGTTACCTAGTCTTATGGTTCTGCCTTGAAATTCTCTCTCAAATGTACCCACTTTTCTCCATGCCTCTGCCACGCTCCCAGTCCAGGCATGCACCCTCAAGCTCCTGAACTATCCCAACACCATCCTTACTAGCCCTCTCCATTCTTTTGATTTCTCTCCATGTATTATCTACACTGCAGGTAGGGCCATACGCAAACCTTACCATATGACACATCCTGTAGGATGAAGTCATTCAATCTTTTACATGACTGGCTGTGCTCAGACCTAGACTGCCTCACAAGCTCATCCAACACCCATCTACCTTCTAGTGCCACTGTGTTTTTTTCAGTTCCTCACACATGCTGCACTCTTGATTCTCGCTTTTCTGCATATGCTGTTCTCATTGCCTGAAATACTTTCCCTCTACCATGTCCATCCAGCTAATTCTTACTTCACTTTCAAATCTCAGCTTCAACTGAGCTTTCCTGACCCTTTTTGAAAATTTAATTTTGCATTGCAGTAAAAGATGCATAAAATTGTAACCACTTCTTTTGTTCTTTTTTTTTCTTTTGAGATGGAGTTTCACTCTTGTTGCCCAAGCTGGAGTGCAATGGCGTGATCTTGGCTTACTGCAACCTCTGCCTCCCGGGTTCAAACGATTTTCTTGCCTCAGCCTCCCAAGTAGCTGGGATTACAGGTGCTCCCCACCACACCTGGCTAATTTTTTGTATTGTTAGTAGAAACAGGGTTTCACCATGTTGGCCAGGCTGGTCTCGAACTCCTGACCTCAGGTGATCTGCCCACTTTGGCCTCCCAAAGTGCTAGGATTACAGGTGTGAGTCACCATGCCCAGCCTATTTTAACCACTTCTAAGTGTACAGCTTAGTAGCATTAAATGCATTCACATTGTTTTATAACAGTCATCACCGGCCAGGTGCAGTGGCTCACGCCTGTAATCCCAGCACTTTGGGAGGCTGAGGTAGGCGGATCACCAGGTCAGGAGATCGAGACCATCCTGGCTAACGTGGTGAAACCCCGTCTCTACAAAAAATACAAAAAATTAGCTGGGCACAGTGGCAGGCGCCTGTAGTCCCAGCTACTTGGGAGGCTGAGGCAGGAGAATGACGTGAACCCAGGAGGCGGAGCTTGCAGTGAGCCGAGATTGAGCCACTGCACTCCAGCCTGGGTGACAGAGCAAGACTCCATCTCAAAAAAAGAAAAAAAAGGAAACAAAACAAAACAAAACAAAAAACAATCATCAACATCTATCTCCAGAACTTTTTCATCATTCCAAGTGAAACTCTATACCCATTCAACAGTAACTCCCATTCCCCCATCCCCCAGTCCCTAGGAACCACTGTTCTACTTTCTGTCTTTATGAGTTTTCTTACTCCGGGTATTTTGACTCTTTAATATGCTCCCACATCACCCTCTACTTCCTCTTTTGTGAGTAGAACCATGTGTTTTTTTTTTTTTTTTTTATTGAAGAGTATTCAGAGCCTAGCAGAGTACCTGGACATGCTTAATAAATATTTGCTGAATTTGACTGATGGAGGTCTGGGGATTTTAACTTGGGAAACAGCATTTTGTAAGATTATTCTAATTGAAGTAATTATTAAATTTAAGAAGAACAGGGCTCCTATAACACTGATTTCCATATGTTTATCTCTCTAGGTGAAGATGGTGGCACGTGGTTTCTTGATCTGAAAAGCAAGGGTGGGAATGTCGGATATGGAGAGCCTTCTGATCAGGCAGATGTGGTGATGAGTATGTCTACTGATGACTTTGTAAAAATGTTTTCAGGTGAGTTTTCCAGTTTATTAGTTTACCTTATTGTTCAGCGAAAATTTAGTTCTGATATTTTGCTTTATCCCTTCCCAAATAATCAAGACTTGTAGATGTTGGCAGCAGTGGAATCTTAGTTTTGGGAAGGCTGTTCTTACTGTTGCCTCTATTGCCACTTCTCCCTCCTCTCACAGGTGGAAGGCAGATGTCAGAATCATTTTCTTCCATTACTGAGAAGCCAGTAATGTTGGGAACAGAGAGATAATTCAAAGGGACTCCTGAGTGGGCTTCAACATATTAGCTGGCCTAAGGTATTATGTTTCCAATAACACCCCAGTCACTGGAGGCACTGAACTCAGTAGCAGCAATTCACTTATCAAGAGTAAGGTCGTGCTTCCATCCTGCCAGCTGTTTGAATACGAAACACATACCAGCCCTCGGCCATGGCCTAGTAACCCTGCTTTCTGTGGAGTCCCAAACCCAGAGAACCTTTTGTGTGATTTTTCTATTCTGTCCATTTACCTCTAACTGTGCTAGAAAATTAAGGATAATTTTCTCTTTTTTACTCTTAGAAAACTACTCCAAATGATAAGTTAATTAACTCAAATTCTAAAAAACTAGAAGCAGCACTTGAAACTAAGCATAACATTCTGATCTAAAGAGTCTTTCATGGAATGAATTATAAATGTTATTCAGACTTCGTTCTGTTTTAATCTTTCTAAACAGGAACATGGTGTATTCTGTGCCCTCTAAGTCTTTCTTTCCAGTTCTAATTCAGGATGCTAATTGCCTACATTCCATCTGAGCCAATCTGTATACAGTGTACTAATGATCAACATTTCTTCAACTTTTCCCTTTTTTTAAAGTGGTGTTAAATGTTCATATGAAAATTAGAAAAGATCGGCCAGGCATGGTGGCTCATGCCTGTAATCCCAACACTTTGGGAGGCCAAGGTGGGAGGATCACTTGCGCCCAGGAGTTTGAGACCAGCCTGGGCAACATGGGGAAACCATGTCTCTACAGAAAATACAAAAATTGGTTGGGTGTGCTGGTGCGCACCTGTAGTCCCCAGCTACTCCAGTGGTTAAGGTAGGAGGATTGCCTGAGCCCAGGAGGTGGAGGCTGCAGTAAGTTGAGATAAGACCACTGCACTCCAGCCTGGGCGGCAGAATGAGACCCTGTCTCAAAAAAAGAGAAAGTATACCTAAGAAAAAAGAAAATAAAATTATTTTTACCATACCACTGAAAGATGACCATAATATACATATGTATGATGCTAAACCATAACCAAACCAAAATATGGTTTAGCATCTATATATGTATGTTATGCTCATCTTATTATGGTTTGCATAATTTGGTTTAGCATCATACATATGTATATTTGTGTGTGTGAGTGTATATAAATATACATGTGTGCTTATAAAAACAGGATCATACCATTACTGCTGTTTGGCAATCTTTTTCACTTAATACACTATAACATCTTTTCAATGTTTATCAGTGGTTTTCCCTTTAAGGATTTTTTTTTTTTTTTTTTTTTGAGATGTAGTTTAGCTCTTGTTGCCCAGGCTGGAGTGCAATGGTGCAACCTTGGCTCACTGAAACCTCTGCCTCCAGGTTCAAGTGATTCTTCTGCCTCAGCCTCCAGAGTTGCTGGGATTACAGGTGCCCACCACCATGCCTGGCTAATTTTTTGTATTTTTAGTAAAGACAGGGTTTCACCATGTTGGCCAGGCTGGTCTCGAATTCCTGACCTCAGGTGATCCACCCACCTTGGCCTCCCCAAGTGCTGGCATTACAAGCGTGAACCACCATGCCTGGCCCCTTTAATGATTTTTAATAGTTTAGTGTTTCAACAACTATCTCTCCATAGAGCTTAAACACAGTTCTTTGGACACATTTAATAAATGCTCAATGAATTGGTGAACTGGTTTCTTATAAGTATTGAACATGAAGACCATTTAAAATAAAAATTTATTGTCAACTTCTAAATGGAAATAACAGTAATTATGTATGATTTATTTATTATATGATTACTATAGGTTAAGCAATACTCCCAACAGTCCCTTCCAATAAAATATGTTCTCCATTTTATACCAGTAAGTACTGAGGCTTTGATAAATAATAAGCCCAAGGTCAGCTGATGAATGAGAAAATAGAGCTAGGATTTGAATCCAAGCTAACTCCAAAGCTTATGCTAGTCTGCCCTCCAAAGGTGAAGAAATCAAGTGACTTCTTTCTTTAATTTACATTTCATTTATGTAGCATACACTTGAAATAATAGGCTTTTTATTGGTATCTTTCTTTGAATGTGGTCTTGAGTTCACTGGATGAGGTCAGTCAGTTATATGAATTATTTAAAAAAAAACAGTTATTCTTATCAAGTATATTTTATAGGTATGGTTTAGATTGGGAGCAAGTGAGTTTGCTTGTGCTTCTTATGTCCTTTTATTCTGTTTTTCCCATCTGCTTTCCTCTAAATGGGCACAATTTAGACTTTACATCCTAAGAATTCTCTTTGATGAAACCATAGCCATTTCTATGCCTAGTTTATATAGTGGATACATTATAAACATAAAATTTAGGCCAGGCATGGTGGCTCATGCCTGTAATCCCAGCACTTTGGGAGGCCAAGGCAGATGCATGCCTTGAGGTCAGGAGTTTGAGACCAGCCTGGCCTACAGGGCGAAACCCTGTCTCTACCAAAAATACAAAAATTAGCCGGGTGTGGTGGCACATGCCTGTAACTCCAGCTCCTTGGGAGGCTGAGGCACAAGAATAGGCTGAACCTTGGAAGCAGAGGTTGCAGTGAGCTGAGATCAAGCCACTGCACTCCAGCCTGGGTGACTGACTGACACTCTGTCTCAAAAAAAAAAAAAAAAAAAAAAAAAAGCATCTAGTAACCAACTAATCGGAATCTCTCCTTTTGGCCAATAGAGGCCACTATATGGTGGAGCAGTATGATAGAAATAAAGTAAATTGAGCAGTATTACTTTACTTGAGGAGGGGTGTGTGTGTGTGTGAGTGTGTGTGTGTGTGTGTGTGTATAAAACATTGAGCTTACTAGCTTTTTAAAAAACCTTTTGTTAAAACAGTATTGTTGAGGTCTAATTCACATGCAATAAAATTTACCATCCTAAGTATAAATGATTTTTAATAAATTTATAGTTGCACAGCCATAACTACAGTCCAGTTATGGACTGTATGTTATGAGAACATTTCATCACACCAAAAAATTCTCTCATGTCTCTTTGCAGTCAATCCTATTTCCACTCCCAACCCCCTAGCCAGCCAAATACTAATTTCCTCTCCGTCTCTATAAATTTGCTATTTCTGGACATTTTATATATATGGAATAAAACAGTGTATAGTCTTTTGCATCTAGGTCCTTTTACTTAGCATAGGCTTTTGATATTCATTCATATATATGTTGTAGCTGGTATCAATAGTTCGGTTCCTTTTTATTGCTGAATAGTATTCCATTGTATGGATATACCACATGTTGTTTATTCACTCTCCAGCTGATGGACACTTGGATTGTTTCAAGTTTTTGGCTATTATGAATATTGCTGCTATGAACATTCTCATACATGTATCAGTATGGATATTTGTTTTCATTTTTCTTGGGTAGATTTTTAAGAATGGAATTGCTAGGTCATATGGTAAGTTGACATTTAACTTTTTTTTTTTTTTTTCACTTAAAATAAAATAGAGATAGGGTCTCGCTTTGTTGCCCAGGCTGGTCTTGAACTTTTGGGCTAAAGCAATCCTCCCACCTCAGCTTTCCAAAGTCCTGGGATTACAGGTGAGAACCACTGTAAGCCAATATTTAACTTTTTAAGAACCTACCAAACTATTTGCTACAGTGCCTATACCATTTTTATAGTCCCATCAGCAGTGTATTAAGGTTTCATTTTCTCTACCTACTCACCAACACTTGTTGTCTTTTAAAAACATTTTTTTAAACTGCTCCTTGCAGAGCAGGGTCAACTCATAGGCAGTATACCCAGAGTTGGCTTGTTGTCTTTTTTATTATAGCCATTCTAGTAGGCGTGTAGTGGTATCTCATATATTTGTTTATGTGTTTGTTTATTTTTTGAGACAGAGTCTTGCTCTGTCTCCCAGGCTGGAGTGCAGTGGCATGATCTTAGCTCGCTGCAACCTCCACCTCCTGGGTTCAAGCAATTCTCATGCCTCAGCCTCCCAAGAAGCTGGGATTACAGGCATGCACTACCACACCTAGGTAATTTTTGTATTTTTACTAGAGATGGGGTTTCACCATGTTGGCCAGGCTGCTCTCAAACTCCTGGCCTCAAGTGATCCACCCACCTCAGCCTCCCAAAGCGCTGGGATTATAGGCACGAGCCACCGTGCCTAGTGTTGTTTTAATTTGCATTTTCTTACTGATAATGATGTTAAACATATTTTCATGTGTTTAATAGCTATTTATATTGGGTGAATTGTCTATTCAGTCTTTGCTCATTTTAAAATTGAGTTGTCAGCCAGGCATGGTGGCTCATGCCTATAATTTCAACACTTTGGGGGGCCAAAGAAAGAGGATACTTGAGGCCAGGAGTATGAGACCAGCCTGAATAACATAGTGAGACCCTGCTTCTAAACACACACACACACACACACACAAAATAAAGTAAAATTGAGTCATCTTTTTAATATTGAGTTGTAAGATTCTTTATAAATTCTGGATGCATGTTCTTTATTGGATATGTGATTTGCAAATATTTTCTCCCAGTATGTGGCTTCTCTTTCCATTTTCTTAATAGTATATTTGTATTACAAAAGTTTTTTGTTTTGATCAAGTTTAATCTATGATTTTTTCCTCTTATGGTTCATGCTTTTCCCACTAAATATTTTATTCTTTTTTACTATTGTGAATGAAATTATTGTTGTTAGTTTATTCCAAATTGCCTGTTTCTGGTATATAGACCTATACTTAATTTTTGTGTTTTGATTTTGTATCATTTGAATTAATTAGTGAAGCCATTTTGTAGCTGGGATTTTTTTGTAGGAATATTTTAAATTAACAATTCAATTTCTTGTTGTATGTCAATAACTTTTTAAAAACAGCTTTATTGAGATATAATTCATATACCATACAGTTCACCCATTTAAAGTGTATTTTATTTTTTGAGACAGAGTCTCACTCTGTCAGCCCAGCTGGAGTGCAGTGGTGCAATCTTGGCTCACTGCAACATCTGCCTCCTGGGTTCAAGCAATTCTCCTGCCTCAGTCTCCCAGGTAGCTGAGATTACAGGAGCCCACTACCATGCCTGGCTAATTTTTGTATTTTTAGTAGAGACAGAATTTCACCATGTTGGCCAGACTGGTCTCGAACTCCTGACCTCAGGCAATCTGCCTGCCTCGGCCTGCCAAAGTGCTGGGATTACAGGCATGAGCCACCGCGCCTGGCCGCAATCGGCCGCAATTAGTCATTTTAAAGTGTATAGTTCAGTGACATTTAACATTCACAATGCTGTGCAACCACCACTTCTCCCTGGTTTCAAAATTTTTTCATCACTGCAGAAGAATACCTGTACCATATGTAAGTAAGCACTTCTCATTCTCACCTCCCCTGGCAACCACTAATCTGCTTTTTCTCTATTGATTTGCATATTCTGAAT